TGTCATTTTAATTCTCTGTAAAGGAATATGGCACTTAAGACCTGAAGGGTACTGATTCAGAATCCTTCCATATGCATTTCTTTTTTTTGTTTTCTAATAACTTCCAGAAAAATAGATCAGTTGTGACAAAGTACACAAATGATTAGTCGTAGAATTATAGAGCTTCCAGAAAATTTACAGATCATTCAGTGTAATTTACTCCATGTATTGCTTGAGAAATTGATGCCCAAAGAAAGTGATTTGCCCACTTCCAGAATCTGAAAGCAATACAGAACATTAGTATTTCAAGTAGGGCAGAAGAATGAGAATTAAGCTTATGAAAATAAAGAGAATGTTTATGGAAAATTCACAGAATAGGTTGGTCTATTTCTGTCAACTACAAAGATTGTTTACAAAAGAAAGGAAACTGAAAATAAAATGATCTATCCTTGCCAGTGTTTCTTGGGAAGTATAGTTATATAGTGACTATTTCCCTAAAAGGAAAGTAAAGAGACTTGATTTCCAGTTGGGTTCTTCCTTGATTTATTAGATACTCATAGGCTAAGTCATCGACTTATGTGATTTCTTTTTTTTAATGCTTGTTTCTCAGCAAGATAAAATATTATATTTATTATTGTGACCTCACGGAAACATTGGGAGAATTAATAAGGTATTATTTTTCAAGCCCTTGGAACACAGTACGATTTTGTTACTTTGGCAAATAAAGTAAATAAATGAATAAGTTAAGCCTCTCCGTTCTCCACTTTTTTTTTTAAATCACCAGCAGTTACAAGGAATTATTGATTTTTATAAAAATTTGACTTTATTCTTTTTTCCAAAATCAAATCAGCAGAAGAGATGGCTAATATTGTTTTCATATGAGAATGAAGAACAAGTCAGGGCACCTTCCATCCCACTTTATTCTTTTAGGCATATCTTAATATAGTAAACTAAAAATTATTATAAGATTTTCCCATTGATATTTACATCAATATTTGAAAAAATTCATACTCCGGCTATACAAGGTATACTGTAATTAAACTCTTGCTAAATAAAGAACAATGTCTATTTTAAACTAAAAATTTAGAAATTGCTGTAGAGTTGTACACAAAGGAAAAGGCAGGTTTATTAAATGTCTTCTAGATCCAGGGTAGCAAGGCTATACTTATATTTATTTGTAATGTAGTATTTAGACAAAAATATATTGATTTATTTTAGTGCTAAATGATGTAAAGGGTCATTGGTCAACATTGTGCAGCATAATATTTGGTTTCCTAAATAGGACATGTCCCGTTATCTGTGATGATGGTATTATAGATAAAATCTGGCGAATTTTATGTTATTGTATTTTTAAAATACTTAATCTTATGAAAATTGTAATTTAATATATCTCTGGTGAGAATAGTTTGAAGTTTATTTGTAATGGAAATCTTCCAAATAGATTTTTGTAGGATTCATGGAAATAGAATGTTCAGTGCTCCCTCTCCTGGTTTTATCATATTGGTGAACTGAACTCTCAACCCAGAATTGTGGTGGTAGCTGAGAAGACAATTTTGAAGAACCAAATAAGATGCTCTGATATGATATTCTATTTCTGATTTGAGTATTCCAGATCCATTTATAATGGTAAAGAAACCTGGGTATCTTTGGTGAAAGTTCTTCACATCATCAGATAAAGTGAGATCTATGAAAAAATAAAAACTATATAGATTAAAATTAATTTTGTGCTTTTAAACAGCCTATTTTAATACGATGTATAATATTAAGGGTGAATATATAACTCTTCAGCTCATTCGTGTTCTATTTTATTTTCTAGTAAGGCTTGTTTGTTGCTGTTGTTGATGTTGTTAGCAATGCCCTAGGTTCTTTAGAAGCAATTATATAACCTTAATTATTTTTAATGCTCACACCTTTGAAAGTCCAATATAGGAAAAAAGCAGTTTCAACAGAATCACTTGCTATTGTAAAGAATGAGATTTTTAGAAACTACCTTGAACTGAAAATGTCCAGAGTAGCAGATTCTGGAATTTTGTTTTTGCCTGCTTTGTTTTGCCAAAGGCTTTAAGGTACTCCTGATATGAATACTTGGACAAAACATTTATTTTTCACTAAATAACTGTTTTTTGGTTCTCAGGTATCATTTTAAAGTCTCTATGGAACCGTAAATTTCACATATAGTTACTCTGACTGCAGCATGAACTTCATAATTTTTATAAATGTCTAAAATAACTCTAGTCTGTAAGCAAGCAAAAATCAAGTTTTCTACATATATGATTAACACTTTTTTTTAAGTGACATATGTATTATTAAGAATTCTAAAACTTCTTGGTAAATCATTTCTACTTTAAATCATTTTCCTTCAGCTAATTTTTAACTTTTTTTTTGCAAAATTATAAAACTATATTACAAAATTGAAGGAATTGGGGATTTTTCTACTGATTTTTGGGAAGTTACACCATAAGCCAAGACAGCGCAATATTTAAAAATCTGCAGCCAGAAATTTCACTCTTATGACATAGTGTTTTATTACATTTGCAGTAAGGGGTACCACCTTTTGAACTTTCAGATTTCACATATCCTGAACATTGTTTTAAATAGGAACTGTAACGTTATATTAACATCTTTTTTTTATCAACTATACATTTTTCCTTCAGCTGACCAGAGTGGTGGCTTGACATACAATTTTTTTACTTTATTCATCAAAATTCTTTTCTAATTCAACTTTAAGGGTGGAGTCCACCAACCCTTTCATTGAGATTGATAACTAAAGAGACACACATTCGGAGGTATTCTTCTATGGCAAACTGCATTTGCAGGATGTTTATTACATAAGTGAACAGGGCAACATTTCTAAGTTTGTACACATGAAAGAGGAAACGACAGTTGGGGAAATCCTGTTCCAGGTTTTCAGACAGCCCGTGTGATTGACACATGATATCACTGGAGGCGTGTCCCGGAGTGGAGGTGGAGGTAGAGGCGAGGAGCTGAAATTCTGCGGAGCCAGAGTGGAATCGCTCTGTAAGGCACGCAGTGGTTTGCAGAGTGATAGCAGCAGACAGAGCTCCCTGCCCTGGATAAGGAACAGCTACAGTCGCTGTAAAAGTGCCTGAAAAGCAATTTCCAATCTTTGCATTAGGTAAGAGCCGTTTGCTTCCTTTCCTTCTGTAGACATTTTAGGAAAGATTAGGTGACAAATGTTTGCATCTGCAAGGAATTGAACATTTCTTTGAACTCGCTTTAGATCTGAGATTATTGGTTACATTTCAAAACACCAGTAGCATTCCCACTGCTAAAATTAATATTCTTAAAGTAAATGCTACCACTAGGGGAGGAAAAAAAAAAAAAAAAAAAAAAAAGCAGGGTCCCTTTCACTTTTTTTCTATCCAAACAGTAAAAAGTTTAAAGTTTAAAACGATCGGATGCGTGAAAAACAGGATGGCTTATGCCGAAGAGGGGCTGGCACTCGGTGTGTGGACCAAATGCCTGTTTGTTTAGGCTTTGTTGGCGACCGAATCCCGAGAGAAGCAATTGTTTAAAACCTGAATTTCCCGTCTCTGTGTATTGATTTCCAATGCGCAGAGGCGTTGCTTGAACGTTGTTTGAACTCCGAGGCATTCCAAGGGGCAAAAGCACTTCGGCAAAAACGTGCAAGACTGCATGTTACTTTGGTTCGCTGCTGACACGCCGACTGTGCGCCGGCCTGTCAATCACTGGGAGCAGCAACAGCCAGCACATGGCAGAGGGCTGCGGCAGGCGGGCAAGCTGACGACCGACCCGCCCCGCTCTACTCTGCCTAGGCGGTGGTGCGAGCTACGCGTCCAAGTGCCTGGAAAGAAAGGGAAATTAGTTAATTTTTTTTTTTTTTTTAATCTCTAATTGTCTGTAGCAGGCGTTTCGGTCGTGGAACCCGTGTGTCGGAGGACTGGGAGCGAGCACACCCGACAAGGCTGACCTGCCATAACCAGAGACCCCAGGGACGCTGTGCCCCCACTTGCCTAGCGTGCGGGAACGGGAAAATTCCTCGGCCTCCGCCGGGGACAAGGGACGACGCCCCGCCTCTTCCCCTGAAGAGGACCCTCAAACTTCGCTCCCCTCACCACCACCTCCAAAAAAGCGGGTAAAAAAATCCCACCCCCTTGGCCGCGGCGGCCTCCGTCTCGCAGGCGCGTGCTTCGAGGCTCCGGTGGGACCTGCGCAGCTCCGTGATCCTCCCGTGGACGCCGGTTCGAGCCCTGTCCCGGGCGCCTCGGAGTCTTGAACGCCTGTGACGCGGATTTTCACTCGTCAGGAGGCCGCCACACCTTCCTTCCCCGAGAAAAAAGATCAGAGCCCGAAAAGTACTCTCATCCGAGCACACCGTGCCAGGCAGCTGGCCCGTCACGCACTCTTCTCTCCGCCGCTCCCCCGCTCGCTTTTCTGAGAAATTCGAAGAGCACTTCGAGAGGGTTTTTTTTTTTCTTCTTCTGATTCTTGGAGGGGGCTGCAGGAGAACACGGCTGAGAGGTGGATGTTACTGAGCCACCCGGCGAACACGAGCTGTAAGTGGTCTGCGCCGGGCCGCGCGGAGTCGCCGGAGGATTGTCCCCCGCAGCCGGAAGGGGGCCGCGGGGAGCGCTCCTGTCCGGCGGGGGCGGGGGAGGCCGCGGGCCGACTCGCCGCAGCTCTGGCGATGCCTCCTTGTTCTCCCCGCCGCGGTTGATGCGGCGTGTGCATGCCGCCACCCACACTGGGACCTGGGCCGGGTTGCACGGCTTGGTCCCACGCCACCGCTTTGGCCTAGGTGAGTGTCCCGCGGCCGTCGTCGGCCCGCGGGAGCGGGAGGCGCGCGGGCGGGGGTTGGTTGGCGCGGCAGGTGCGGACTCCGGGGAGCGGTGGCCGGCAGGGCCCTCGGAGAAGGGCAGGAGGAGCGGGGACGGTGCCCGCGCGCGGCGCAGGCCCCTAGGGCCGCCCCCTTTCCCCCTTGGGGCCGGGCTCCGGGGCGCTCGGGGAGAGAAAACCGGGGCGACGTTCGGTAGCTGCGTTTCGCGAGGCGGGAGGACGGCGAGGCAGGGTCTCCTCGTCCCCAGTTGCCCGGAGTGGTGGCGCGGTGGCCCCGGTTGTCCTCTTGGAGGAACCTACCACCCGAAAAATGAGTCCTAGTTTGTTTTCAGGGTATTCCCGGAGGGCCCTACTGAGGTTCTTGGCTTATGCCATCGGTGGGCTTTCTGTGGAGTTTCCCCTTAGATGCGAGGGTGTGTGCGTGCATGCGTGCGTGCGTGTGTGTGTGTGTGTGCAAACCCCTGGAACTCGCTGGTAAACCCCTCGACAGAATTAGTCTGTCCCCGAACGAGCTGCAACTATTGTTTTGAGAGCAGTTGAAAGGCGAAGGGAGGGGAGAGGGCACTGCCACTTTAAAAATGGGGAAGTCCGCCCTCCTGAGGTAATGGTAACCTCAGCCTCCTCCCCTCCTTCTGCGAGAGAGAGAGAAAACTTGTTTTCATTCATAACTTTTTCCTTTTCCTTCCTCTCCGTCAACTATTTATTCACCGCTTCTCAGCTCGGATTGCAGAGGGCGCAGCTCCACCGTCGTAACTTGCAAGGTGGCGACACGTCTCTGCTGCCCCTGCCTCCGGCTTATTTCTTCCTGGCCTTTCGTGAATCAAGCTTTTTTTTTTAAAGTATAGACAGATTTATTTATCATCATCCATTCTGTGGGGTGCCTTTTGGCACCTGCGTTAAGTCTGAAGGCTCTTCATGGTTTGCAAAAAACCTTGGTGGGATACGCAAACACTGTTGGAAACCCACGGTGATCCTTAGGATGTGATGGAATTGTCCGAAAAGGTATTCTACTTTGATTCGTGTTTTCTTCGGGAAAACAGTGCCGAGAACGTGTGAGCGTGTTTGCTGTAGTCAGTCGAGGACTGTCACTGCTTGAAAATGGGCTTCTCTTCAGACCAGAGATGGCTAATTTTCTTTGCTTTTTATTTTTGCCCGGTCATTTACTAGGCAGCATGAATTTTGTTACAGCTATCTTTTAAGATGCAAGTTAAAGTTGTGCCTGGTGTTTTCATTACAGTATTATAAATCCTTCTCCACAGTTTTTTCTTTCGTGTGAAATCCAATTTAGTACTTTTTAGATAGCCTTTGCTTTCACAGCACTGAGTTAAAGAAGTTCTTTTTGAGCAAGAATGGTTTGGTGTTGGAGTAACCATTAAAAGTTTTTTAAAGTCCTTAAAAATAGTCCAGGACTAAGCCCACCGGGTTGTGAATGTGTTTCTCCTCAGGTACAGAGAAGGTGGAATAAAGTTTAAACTTGGAGTTCTGCATTGTGAAAGTGAGGGCAGCTGCAAGAAGTTAATATATAAGGCATAGTCTAGGGATAGTTCCTTTAGTTAATACGTGAAATGGACCTCTTTCTGTCCTGTTCCTTAATCCAGTGATTGGGGCTCAGAGGTGGTAGGTGGATGGGCATTTTTTCTTTTCATTCTTGAATGGGGTTCAATCTGTAGACTTTGAAAGGAATTTGTGTGGAAAATATTCTAGATTGCCATTGACTGAAAACGGAAATGTTTTTATGTTTTGGCAGTTTGTTTTATGAAGAGTACATTATAAATTACAGTTAATTTACTATAGGTTCCAAAACACAAATGGGTATTTTTATCAGAATACGAGCATGCTCATTTTGTTACAAGAAGCACATTGATTCAGAATTGGCAGTGCTTTTGAAAATCAGGGTCTGTCATGTTAATGCGGAGTTTTAAATGAGAGAAAATACAGATAATTAAAAGGGTCAGGATTTCCCCAAACTACTTTAAAGGCCTAACACTTATTTGTACATAAACTTTATCTTGTTATGTGATGTGAGTAAGCCCTTATTTAATCTTTAAACAATGCTTTTGTGATTTCAAATGTGAATATTCTTTAGCATTCACAGAAATGTACATTGAGTTTTGTGTGTGTTGTATCCTTCCTACATTTATTTTTGTGTCTTGTAGATTAATAACAAGCTAACTTTAAAATCCTGATTTCTACTGCAAATGACCTCTTACTCAGGTTTCCATTTTAGTTTGAATCTCTTTTCCTCTTACTGGTAGATTTATTAGTTTGTTTTGAAAAATGCATGAAGTATTCCTTGATTAATTTCCTTATCATTAAGATAATACTTTTAATAGTAAATGAATGACAAAAAGGCAACAGCACCAAAGCCATTCTTAATTTTTTTTCTTGAGTATTTTTCTTTATGGAAACCAGTGATGAACTGATACTGAGCTTTCTTTGGATGAGAGCTATTCCAGTGCTTATATTTAATATTCCCTTTGAAGACATACTCCATTTTAAGTATTTATTAGAGTCACAAACAGGAAGGCATTGCTTTCTCTTCATTCCACTTTTTGAAAATTAGGAAAAAAATTAATGTTTATAGCATAGGGTCTTTTGCTTACCTTCTTTTTCTATGATGTGGTCCCCAGCCTCTCTTGGACTTGGACTCTGGCCAGGACCCAGCATCATTGTAATCCGCTGATGAAGGAGATCATTACCAGGTGTTTTAGACAATTTGTGACTTGACAGGATTCCCGCTGCCCCCCCCCAAAAAAAATGCCTCCTGTCATTTATTTTCTCTCTTATTTTTTTCATTTTTGATTTCCTTTTAGGATTTCAGATGCATGCCAGGTTCCTACTGATTGCCAGAATTCAAGATCACTACACATGGATCCCCAAAATCAACATGGCAGTGGCAGTTCATTAGTTGTGATCCAGCAGCCTTTGGATAGCCGTCAGAGATTAGACTATGAGAGAGAGATTCAGCCTGCTGCTATCTTGTCCTTAGACCAGATCAAGGCCATCAGAGGTAGCAATGAATACACAGAAGGGCCTTCAGTAGTGAAAAGACCTGCTCCTCGAACAGCACCAAGGCAAGAAAAGCATGAAAGGACTCATGAAATTATACCAATTAATGTGAATAATAACTATGAGCATAGACCTACAAGCCACCTGGGACATGCAGGACTAACAAATAATGCCAGGGGCGCTATTTTGAGCAGATCGACCAGCACTGGAAGTGCAGCCAGTTCTGGAAGCAACAGCAGTGCCTCCTCTGAGCAGGGACTGTTAGGAAGGTCACCACCAACCAGACCAGGCCCTGGTCATAGGTCTGAAAGGGCAATCCGGACCCAGCCAAAGCAACTGGTTGCGGATGACTTGAAGGGTTCCTTGAAAGAGGACGTGACACAGCACAAGTTCATTTGTGAACAGTGTGGAAAATGCAAGTGTGGAGAATGCACAGCTCCCAGGACCCTGCCATCCTGTTTGGCCTGCAACCGGCAGTGCCTTTGCTCTGCTGAGAGCATGGTGGAATATGGAACCTGCATGTGCTTAGTCAAGGGCATCTTCTACCACTGCTCGAATGACGATGAAGGGGATTCTTATTCAGATAATCCTTGCTCCTGTTCACAGTCACACTGCTGCTCTAGGTACCTGTGTATGGGAGCCATGTCTCTGTTTTTGCCTTGCTTACTCTGTTATCCTCCTGCTAAGGGATGCCTGAAGCTGTGCAGGGGCTGTTATGACTGGATCCATCGTCCAGGGTGCAGATGTAAGAACTCCAACACTGTCTATTGTAAGCTGGAGAGCTGCCCCTCCCGGGGTCAGGGTAAACCATCATGATTTTTGGAGGTGGGTTGAACCTCCTGAACGTTTAGCTTTCAAGTTGTGGCTGTTAAAAAAAGATCCTATTAGATACTGGTTTTATTTTCTTTAGCATTTTTCCCTGTTTCCCATCTTCTCCTCCCCTGTTCCCAAGGTTTGACTCATGGATTTTACTCTTCTCTCATGGATGATCTTCAGTGAAAGTGGACTGTGAAACTGTATCTGGCTCCCACTTACTACAAGAGTCTCTGCCATCCACTTGAGAGCCAGTGGGCTTTTGTGCAGCCTTTCTATTCTGCAAGCAACTCTCCACAAAGTTGTACACGTGAACACACCCACACCCACACCCAGACTACAATGATTTAAAGTTGTTTTTGGTTGGGTACTGTGGGAACACGGAAATTGGTTTTTAAAGAAGCAAGCATTTAATTGCTTAAATAAGCTATGTATTAAGTCTGTCTCCAGTTAGGGCAATCTTCATAGAATTGGACCCTTAAGTAGCATGGGGGATATATTTTTGCTATAACATAAAAATTTTCCTTTAACCACTGCCCTTTCCTTCTTGCCCCTCAATGTTCTCTCCCTTCAGTTTTGGCATTATCTTATTCTAGTGATGCCAATTTTTTTGTTTTCTCTTTCTATGTAATTTTCGATTGGCTTTACAGTGTAAATCTTCACATTGGAGATATATTGGTTGTATCTTGCTCATTCTTATTCTAGCTTTCATGTTTGTGAAGGACTCAACTTCCTTCCACACCTCACACTCTCCACCAAATTTCTGTTGTCATTGAGGGCACTTGGATAATGGATATTGGTATTTAAGCTGATGACTCTGTAGATGTCACAGAACTGTGCTGCCTAAAGTGATCTTGGCTCGTTAGCGGTCTTTTTGGCCCATTGGTTAATTAGCAGCTGAGTAATTCTGATCTGTCCTGTGTTTTCATTGCCTTAACCACGAGTTGTGGTGCTTTTTGTATATTTTATGTATAAATCACAAAGTTGAATTCTGACTATTTTTAAGACAAAAGTCTGTTAAACTTTTTTATTGTAAAGAATATTTATTATGCGAATCTCTATTATTTTATGATATTTATTGCAAAAGACTGTTGAAATGTACTCATGTCTGAATATAACAAAATATCAATACTTAACAGAAAATAAGGTGACACGAAGAAAGTACATACGTTAACTATAATGCAGAAAATATATTAATTAATGAAACTGTCTCTTGACTTCTTCATTTATTAGCCTGTACTATTATGATGATTTTTGTCATTTGCTTTGGCTTTTTCTTCATTCACACTCATTTTAGTTCTTTCCCTTAAGATACTGAATCCAGACACAGGTGAGCTCAAATTATGAGCTAGATGTTTCCTGGAAAGTACATTATATAAAACTTGTAATCCAAATCCTACTTCAAATAGTCTTTAAACAAATACCCAAGTGAATTGCTTTATAAAGTGAATTTTTTTTTTTTTTGTAATTAATATTAACAAATACTATTTTGGCTAATTTGTAAGCACACGTCGTAGTTTCTTGAAATGGTGGCGTATCTGTAACACAGTTTTCAAAAATGTTTATCTTAACTCTCTTGGGCTAATCAGAAATTAGTCTCCAGCAGCAAGACTTAAAGAACTAGTTCTGTAGACATGCTAGGAGTCTCTGGTGCTGTCATGTTAATAAAACATTTTAGAAGTTAGTGTGTGCCTAGGGAATAGTTCACATTATCAGAGAAATGTTTTAAAAACATTCCTGTCCCTACCTTTTCATTTCCTTTAATAAGTCTTTAATGTGGCCTGATCAAATTACACTTTTTCATGTCCTTTGGAATAAGAAATTTAAGGGCCTGAAACTATATAGAAAAAGTAAATATTTTGAAATCTTAATTTTTAGCCTGGTGAGACCACTACATAGCTAGAATCTTTGGGTCTGATAAAATTTTTGTTACGTGAGTCCTCAGAATATAGAATCTTGTTCATACAAATCCACAGACTTGGTTTCATTAATTTCCTCTGACTAGGTGATAAATAAGTCAAACCTGAAAAATTACCCACATTTGAGAAGAAGAAGTTAACATAATTTGAACCCAGGATTGAGGCTATCAAAACTAAAATCTGACCCAGCTTTTTGTTTTGGTCATTATTCTTAACTGGTTTGGCTCCTAGTTTAGGAGTATTTGTTCTTTGTAAGTAGACTTTGACTCTGTTTTACATCAGACAAGGTGTACGTTTTTGTTTTAATTCTTTTTCATCAAGCAAGTCATTAAACCTGTTTGTTGGCATTTTGACCTTTGATATAAGCAAATGTTTTCTCTATTCTCTGAAAACAGGAGGATTTTTTAAAAAATGAATATGTATGTTTTGGAGGCTACTTCATAATCCGTAGTATTTCAAACTTTGACCTTGAGTTTTTTCTTCCTGTACTCAAGTGATGTGATGTTAACACTGGTCCTTTAATATTTAGAGTTACTTGGTTGAAATTTGGCTCTTTTAATGAAGTATACAAACACAGACTCCCTCAAAATACTGTGTGGTTTTTTTCTGTTATTATTCAGACCTTTGGTATAATTAGGAGTTGGTGTAAGAGCTGTAGTTGTAATAACTAGACTAAGAAGCTGTAGCTTTTATCGAAAGAAATTTATAACTTTTATGAGAATGAGGTATGCTGTGGAGTTTCAACTTCTGGCCATATGCTGAATACATTAAAACTACAATATTAAGATGGTGGTCTGCTGCTCCTTGGGCTTAGTATGTACTCTGGCATAATGTCAGGTTCGTATTTAGAAACAGCGATAGGTTACAGGTTCAGATTTCTAACAGAGGCTTGTCAGGTGGCAAAGCATAAACACTTGGATTCAAAATCTCCTCCTCTGATGGTTGAAACCACAGAGGAAAAAATATTAGAGTGTGTTCTCATAAGTGCTTATGAGTCCTACACTTTTGAACCTAATACTGATCAACAACACTTCAACGTGCTAAAAGAATTCAAAAGAGTCAGCAAACCTGAAATTTCTTACAATGCCTTTGCCATTCATTTGATACTGTCTAATGAAAAAGGAGCCTTGGTGGCGCAGTGGTTAAGTGCCTGGCTGCTAATTGAAAGGTCAGTGGTTTGAATCCACCAGCTGCTCTGTGGGAGAAAGATGTGGCAGTCTGCTTCCTCCGTAAAGAGTACAGCTTTGGAAACCCTATGAGGCAGTTCTTCTCTGTCCTATAGGGTCGCTATGAGTAGGAATCTCCTCGATGGCGGTGGGTTTGGTTTTTTATTTTATTTTTTTAATGAAAAACAACATACCAAATGGATGGGCTAACCTTTCTTTTTTGTTTCACAGTTTTGTTCCTCTTCCTCAACTAGTGCAGCTCGACAGAATGGATGTTTTTGTTCCTTTCCAACATATTTTCTGACTGCCGTTTTTTTCAAAGAAGTCTTAATTATTTAGATAATTTAATGGTGAATAAACCAATACAGGATTTCTGTAATTGAGCAGTTTCCTGTCAACAGATGTTATAAGCACAAATGGAAGCTTTAACCTTGGCAAGGAGAACAGTTCTTAGAGTAAACAGTGAAAGAAGAGAGGAAAGAAAAAGATATAATGGAATATTTAGATGGAGAAGAGGAAGGTTGTAGAAATGTACTTCAATTGGCCTCCCTGTTTTTGGTAAATAGAAGGATGGTCTTCTTGTGATAGTTAAGATGCATCAAAGATAGAAATTTGATCTTGAGAGCAAAGTCTGGAATGGCTAGATATGGGGAATACTAATGTGTAGTCAACAAGAGAAGAACAGATGAAGGTGAGTGCAGAGACTCAACTCAGATTGAGTAACGGATTTTTTTGGTGGGCCACCAAACATTTTTCAGATTTTTATCAAGACATTCGCTGTAGCTGGTTAGAGTGGCAGTTAAGGCAGATGATAAGTCTTAGACCTGGAGCAGTAAGAAATGGTGAACTTCAAAGAGGTTATGAATTTTAGGGTAGTAGCTGGCAATGACTGGCCAGAAGAATTGGCTAAAGATTCTAATTAGAATGAAATACAGGTTTACTGAGCATAAGGAAATAGGAAAGGCAGAAAGTTGGATACATAGGAGAATTTCCAAGTCAATATATTAGAAGGTGGATCATTTTTAAAAGCTGAGGAAGTCTGGGGTTCCTCTGTGCCAGTGGGTAACTGAGGTTGAATGGAGTCAGAGATATTTGGAGCTAAGGATGAAGACAGAGAAAACAGAGAAAAGTTGTTAATTTAGGTATTAAAATGCCACAAGGGGAGGTGAAGAGGAAAACAGAGCCTAGCGATTATGTGTGGAAAGGATGTTTTTAGAAGCTTAACTTGTTTTTAAGCTAATGGATTATAAATCGAGAAATTAATATCTGATAAAAATAGAAGGTTTCTTAACAAGGAATGAACTGTTGCTGTTAGTTACCATCGAGTGGATTCTGACTCATGGCGACCCCATGTGTGTAGAGTAAAACTGCTTCATAGTGTTACCAAGGCTTCCGAGGCACCTCTGGGTGGGTTTGGAGCCACCAACCTTTTGGCTAGTATCAATGCTTAATCGTATGCACCATCCAGGCACTTCAAGGAGTGAACTAGTGAGGTAGAATTTATTCCACATAGCATGTACTCCATTTATAACACATGGTCTGTTAAAATCTGTTATTGAATAAAGAAAATATCATCATGAAAGTTGACTGACCACTCAATTCAGCCAAAATAGTACATGGAGCCAAAAGACCTACTTTCCACATTCCCTTCTTTAAGCTTTTGTGCACTTCAGAGGTACGTCCAAAGGCAAAGGAATTGGGTCTCACATCTTAGTCCTATCTACTTCACAGAGTTTGCATATTGCATATTTGCAGTAGAAGACTGTGAGTCAATTAGATTCCTTAATAAAAGTACATTTTATTCTGGGCCACCCAGATTCTTCTTTATACTCCAAATGTGGTTGTGGTGGTGTTGCTGTCAAGTCAGTTCCAACTCATGGAGACCCCATGTATAGATGCCTATCTTTATAAGGAAAACTCCTGGTGTCAGAGTCATTTACATAGCGTGCAGGCTTTTAACTAGTTCCTTTGTGGTTTGTAAACCTGCTCTTGGAATTGTCTATAATTTCCCCTTTGTACTTGCCTTGACCATTTTTGTTTTATGCCCTTTAATACCAGAAACACAATGCAATTAAAAACCAGTTGCCATCAAGTCAGTTTCGACTCATGGCGACCCCATATGTACCAGAGTAGAGCTGTGTTCCATAGGGTTTTCAGTGGTGAAGATAATAAAGATGAAATTAACATTTATCACTTTAACTTCTTGCTATCTAGTACCTGGAATGACGCTCGTTACAATGGAGTAAGAGCTCAATAAATATTTGTTATTGATCAGCTTGCTAGATTTATTCTTAAAAGCTTCGGAGTAAAGACGTGGAGATTAATGACCACATGGAATTTTTGCAGGGTTTTTTGATACCATTTCTAATGCCAAGAATATTGGCAATTTTGAGAGGAAGTAAGAACGGCTTACCTTTGTCAACCATTCATTCATTTATTCAACAACCATGTCTTAGGTGCAGAGGATCCCAGTCTTTGAGTAGTAAATAGTTCGTGAGTTTTAGTAATGTGACTGGTGCTATTATAGCGGTATGTAACGGGGCCATGAAAACACTGAGTTTGCAAGTCAGGGAAGCCTTCCCAGAGAAGACCTGACAGATGAATAGTGGCAAGGGAGGAAAAAGATTTTGGACAAGCACAAAGGCATGTTAACAGAGATGATCATGGCATGATAGAAAAGTTGCGAGCAATTTAGTATGTTTGCTGTGTAAGGTGCCTGTGGAAAGGATAGGAGCCAGTCATGGAAAGTGTGAATGTCATGTTAAAAGTTTGAGCTCTATCCTGTGGGCGACAGAGTTGTGGACAGATTATAAACAGGAGAGTGACATGACCCGATTAGAGTTTCAGAAAGATTCTTCAGGCAGCACTGTGGAGGATGGACTGGAGGGGGAGGAGACCAGATGGAAGTTAATATAATGACCAAGCTGACTAACGTGACAGGAACAGTGGAGACTGAGAGGAGATGGGCTGGAGATGATTGGTTGAGGATGATGGGGGAGGAAGAATCTAGGTGACTCAGCGCTGGGTTAACTCATCTCTGGTTATGCAGGGCAGAGAGAACGTTTGTATAAATGAAATGCATAAGGAGAGCAAAAATTTCCACATTGAACTTTCTACTAATTGTGC